CAAAACTCTTTTTATGTAAAAACTTTCAGTTAGGATATCAAAAATAAATAAAATACAGATTGAGTGAAATACAGATAATCAAATCATATCAGTGTAAGCAAACAGGAAAGTTTTTAAAGAAATGCTGATGATTTAGTCACTGAGTATTTAATAGTCAGCTATTATTTTTTGTATTGTATAATTAGGAATTGATCGAATGTATCAGATTTCACTTCCATCCTTATATGCGTTTTAAGACTGACTCTTTTCTTAATCTTAGAACATCCATGTGTCATGCATTCTTATAGGACTATTTTCAAACTAGAACAGCACAACATTTAAAATATTGATGGTCAACAGATATATTTTCATTTTCTGGAACTATGTAATTCACATAACTAATTGGCATAAAAAATAGTATAACTGTTTTAAAATCTAGTATTAGAGCAAAATAGAAAAAAGTCCTCACACTCCATATGTCATCCAAAAGCTTAAAAGAATATTTTGGTGTTTGCATGACTATTGTATAGCTGCATGGATTGCTATGGGGAAATGCTAGTTATATATATTTAAAGCTATTCATAATATTGCTCTTTGCAAGTATATATATAGTCTTCTATCTTTGTAAGGCATCTGTTTACCTAACTCGATTTTTTTTATTAGCTGTGTGACTTTCAACAGATTATTATTATTTCTGAACTTCACTTCGTTCATCCATAAATTGTTATCAATAAAAATTCTCTTGTTATAGAACTGTTGTTAAATTTAAATGATATAACGTATGCAAAAGTATTTTGTGAACTTTCCACTGTAGCAGTATCAAATACAGGTATGGAGTCTGGTGCTTATGAGCATAAAGCCTGGACTCAGACTTGCTGGCTTAAAATCCTGGCTCTGCTACTAACTAACTTTATGATCTTTGGCAAATTTCACACTCTGTCAGTGCTTCAGTTGACTTCTCTGCAAAATGTGGATAATAATAGTAGGTATCTCCCAGAGTAGTCACGAGAATTCAATGAGTTAATACATGTAAATGGTGTATAACAGTGCCTGGGACATAAAAAATACTTTGCAAATATTAGCTATTGTTATCATAATTACTAAAATTATTGGATATTATTATTCTACAATAAGGTATTTTACCTATACTTTCACCGTGTTGGCAACCTAAGAGTCAAGTCAAACACAATAGACTCTCAAAATATATTTGTAGACACCATGTGAACAAATTACTTTTTCCGCACATGCTGTTTAAAATACCTGAAAAATATAAATTCCATGTTTGAAATTACTTGTTTTAACTGGAAAATTTAAAGGTGGCTAAAAATATATTGTATAATATGATCCTATAATATATAATCAGATCTTAATATTCAGGTTTCGTTCTTATATTTACATTGTCATCTATGTAATATAAACCTTGACATTCATCTGTGAAATATAAAATGACATTTCTAAACATTGTAACAAAATGATGTAGAAAAGAATCATTTATGTTATATAACATATAATATTCAAGGTATCAAAAAGCAATAATTTTTCAAGCTACAAATAACATACTATAATCTCCATTATATCTAAATTTTGTTCCTATCATTTACACTGGGTCCTTGATCTTTTCACTTACCGCATTTCATAGAAATATTTCAAATCAACACAAGCAGGGCACTTGGTTTGATAGCCCACTACAATAACAGTGCTTTTTGCCTATAGAGCTACACAATATATATTCATAATAAATTTATTCTAAGACATAAAAATTCTACAATTTTATTATAAAACACTTATTTTATTTCCACTAATTAGTGAACTTTTATTGACTTAACAAGCAATAAGATTCAATCTGATGCTGAAATTTTCTGCACAAGTTCAGACATAAGTACAGAAAGTTTAAAAAAGAAACAATGATCTCTAAGAAATTGCATTTCATTTTACCCCAGACTCTCTTGTTTTCCATTTGTTTACTTTAATTTTTGCATTGAATTGTGCTCAAAATCATCAACTGAGATTGAGATTGGAGGTTGGGGAGAGTAGTCGACGCGGTGTTAATCGGTGAGAATAAGGTGAGATAGGAGGATGAGTTCCTCTGTTTTAGATGCTATATTAATATTCTAATAGTGAATACATGCTAGTCTTTCATATGTTCTTTTAAATCCAAATTTAAAATGGGTATCAAACACTTCATCAAACTTAGAGAGTTCTGCGAACTTATTTTATCTCTGAGAGAGTCAAAGAATGTATCATTAGTAATTATTTTCTCAATATCATCACTGTAACTTCATATATTATTAGGCATTCATTGGGCTTCGACCCAAAGATAAGAAATGTATGAATTCCATGAGCAGTCTCTTGAGGTGGCAGCAATATGTTAACAATAATATATGCATTAAAACTTAAGTGCATCTTTTTAATTTCATACTATTTATGCAAGAGGATTTCTGTATTGAAGCATAAGCTTCAAATATTTTCTAGTGTTAAAATGTTGACTCATAAGTTATTTTGGTGTTATGTTTAAAATATTAATCTATGCAACCTAAAACAACCATAATGACTACGATTTTGGGAATAGAAATTATGACATTCAACTGAATAATGGGTTTCTCCTTATTCTATGAAGGTTTTTCCTTAAACTAGTGACATGAAGGTATGGAGTCTTAAATCAAAAGATTGCATCTACACACATGAACTTTATAGTATAGAAGATCTACAAATATCTGGCTTAAAAAAAAAGCAAGTTATCAAATGTCTAAAAATAGAACAAAAATATTGCTTTTACTGCAAGGGAGAAAAGGAAAACCGAGTTTGATGAGCTTAGAGAATTTAAACACAAGTAAACTACAATACAGCCACAAAATGGTGATTCAAATAAAGGATTTCTCCATCCCAAAAGGATTCTTCCCTTTTTGAATGAATGCCTGACGTCTGTCATGGTGGAAATCCATATTGAATGGCTTTGCTCTATTCTTTATCTCATTTTTCCCACTTTCATTTATTCCTTTCATTTTTTCCAGATGGAACATAATTTTTTTTTTAAAGAAAAACTAGGATATAAACATGTAACACACTTTTTCTGGAAGAATAGGAACTTTCCTTTGAAAAAAACTAATAATGCCTATGGAGAATTAGTCATTTATTTCTCATGTGGCTGCATAAACAGAGAGGCAAGGACTTAATCTAGGGAACTACTTGCTGTGTTTTCATGAAGTCATGAGTGTTCTGACTAAAAAATGCCTCATAAAACACGACACAATAAAACAGGCTCCAGTTAATTCTCCACCAGTAGTCACTGTTACATAGGATTTTTCCTTGCCATGAGAAATATACTTCATATAAAATACTCAATATAATCCTCTCTCCACTATTCACATTTTACAATGTTATTCTATAATTTATCCATTCTTTCATTCATGTTGCAAATATTTGTCTTTTTTTTTTTTTTTGTGAGGAAGATCAGCCCTAAGCTAACATCCATGCCAATCCTCCTCTTTTTTTGCTAAAGAAGACTGGCCCCGGGTTAACATCCATGCCCATCTTCCTCCACTTTACATGGGATGTCACCACAGCATGGCCTGACAAGCGGTGCATCGGTGCGTGCCCGTGATCCAAACCTGGGCTGCCAGCAGTGGAGCACGCGCACTTAACCACTATGCCACCGGGCTGGCCCCTTAAGTCTTTCTTATGTGCCAGAAATCTGCTGTGTGTGGAGAATACAAAAAAATTAAACAAATAGAAGTGGAACCCTAAGGAGTTCGTAAAGTTTAGTTACAAAGACAGGCATCAAAATTAACAAATACAGTATGTTGTAAAATCTACAAAGCTGAAGTAGGTGTACAAAATATGTACATCAATCTTGTTTGGTAGTAGAGAAAGCTAATCTGACAGAGTGGGTGGATGTGGGAGGGATGTTTCCTTCCAACACTTTACCTTCTGACCATTTACATGCATACATTAAGGCATAGGGACTGAAAGTACGTATGTATACATATATGAATACATATATGTATAAATAGTAAGTTAAAGCTTTCTCCATATTTGTATAAATTAAATATCAGTTATTGCTTTAATTTTTTTATTGTGAACTTTCCTTTGGCAACATGAGCTGGACTCTAAAATTCTATTTAATATGTGCATTTTCTGGCTATAATGTTTAAATTATGTAGTTAGCTCTAGATTTTTTTCAATAAAAGGGCATAGCACTAGCTCTTGGTTTCAAACAGCTATAATGATAACTTGAGAATTAAAATTCCATGGCTTATTAACATAAACTATACAATCTCCTAGTGCCTTTAGGAAATATACATTTATTCTCAAGTATTACAAATGCATGACAGAATGTACGTGTACTACAAATGACAACTTAATTTTCCTACTTGTTCAATAACTGTTAGAATGTTGTTTCTCAGTATCACTGTCACTCGCAACATTCTGATCAACATTCTATTAGGAAGGTATATTATCATTTATTTCTAAGATTCACTCATGGAAAAAAGTGATACTACTTTCGAACACATCTAGTCATTGCTATTTCTGCTACGAGAAGTTACAGCAAAATTGTTATTGGTCTACTTTTCTATTGCCTTCAATGTGGAGAAACTAAGGATAGGAGAAATGCTAATTTCCACAAAATACATACAAAGTTTACTTAAGATTACGTGTTCTAAATGAAATGAGAAAG